GCTTGAGTCACTGTGGTTGTGGTGAAGGCGCCCAAGAGAACTAACAGAATGGTTGAGCTTGACCGTGGTCCTGGGAGGGCTCCATTCAGGAACGCTTGGCTCTCTGAGTCTGGGTCTGCGGTGGGAACAGAGAATCAGGAGATGTTCACCTCATAGGAATCAGGAGGTAGAGAAAACACATGGATGCTCATACCATGATGAACAAGAGGCAGAGTAGACCTCTAACAACAGGCTGCAGCTGAGGGAAGATACAGCCTTTATGGTCTTGCTTCTTGCCGTTCAGACCAACCTTTGAGTATTTCCATCACCCACAGTCATGGCATCAAACTGGGAACCCACAGGGCTTTCATCCATTGATGGAAGTCAAGCCCTGTTGTATCTGGCATTTCCCAGAAGCCCATTGGCTGGTAACCACATGCCCAGTGTGCAAGTCTGTGAGGCACGCTTCACATTTGTCTATAACATGGTGATTCCCACTCTTTTTCCTTTTGGGGAAGTTTAGCAATGTCTGCTGACAACTTTGGTTGTTTGGGGTGAGGGAGAATGGCACTATGGCATTTAATAGATGGAGAACAGAGTTGTTAGTTACTATCTTACATAGCGCAGACTGTCCCCTCATTAAAAATAAACAAAATGACTGATCTACACTGAAGAGACAGAGGCAGGAAGACTGTCCAGGAGTTTGAGGCCAGCCAGAAATACATGGTGAGAACTCCTAGAACTCACATCTCAATATTAGATATCACAATCCCAACACAAAATCTCTGACACCAAGTTTTCTGCTAATAATATATTTATCATTAACTACTAACTGTTTGTGGCCAGTGAAGTCACTCAGGTACATGTCAAGTTCTCTGGACAGAGTGAGGGAAGCAGCTGAAAACGGAAATTCAGCCTTTTTCATAGCCCCCACACATCATATTTCTCCTTCAGTGTGTGTGTGTCTCTGGAACTCAAGATAACAGTTGATGTGTTGTATCAGACACCACAGAATGTTGTAATCTCCCGTCATCTCAGGGTCTTATCACGGCTGACTGGAGAATCCGCTTATTATAACATTTGTTATTGCACTTGTTAATTTGATTTTTTCATGGGTGGGGGTGTAGGTACCACGAGGATGTCAGAGGAAATCTTGCAGGACTTGTCAACTCTGCTTCCACTATGTGGGTCCCAGGGGCCGAACTCAGGTTGTTAGACTTGGCAGCAAGGGCTTTTATCCAAAGAGCCATCCTGTCAGCACCGACCCTTATTAGGAAATTCCATGTTGTCATCTGCAGGTGGGAGGCTCTGCACTGTCTGAAAGAACATTGCAAATAATTCATGGCCTGGGCCGGAAATTAAAGATTCAATACTTGGGGGAGAACACTGAAGGGTAAATTTATGTGGCCTGACCACAGTAGGCTCTCTGATTTTAGTAGACTTTGTCTTATCGCTAGGACTCTGTGGAGTTAAGGGTTATCATGAGTGAGGCTAGACCACACTTGGGACCACTGACAGATAACGGATATGGAACAAAAGAAGGATCGGGAATGTCCTGTTAAAATTCTGTGCCGTTCAGTTACATATCAGGTGTTTGCACAGTGCATTTGTCATCCCTACCTGCTCTTTCTTATACCACAGATGCTCTCAGCTCCAGAATGACAAGTTATTTTAATCCATTTTACTGTTCTCTAACAAATGGGCTGCATTGAATTTATTTTTTTGTTTAAGGTTTCATTAAAAAAAAATTATACATTTGTATGTGTCTTTGTATGGTGCATGATGAGTTCAGTTCCCAAGGAGGCCAGGAGAGGGCATTGAGTCCCCTGGAGCAGGAGTTACAGGCTGTTGTGAGCCGCCCAATGTGGGTGCTGGGAACCGAACTCAGGTCCTCTGTAACAGCAGCAAGTGTTCTTACCACAGAGTCGTCTCTCCAGCCCCTGCGTGTGACTGGCTTATGGAACATTGTTTTTGCTGTTATATTGTCTTAACATTACACTTTTGTCCTTAGTGTTTAATGAGAGAGGCACAGAGCGAGAAACAAAAGCCTGCTGACTTCACACAGACAGGTCAGAGATGTCGCTCTTTGGAGGTGCTATGCAGTGGAGGGCTCTTCCGCTTGTGTGCAGAAGAAGCCTTTGGAAAGGAACCAGGCAAGTCCTGGTTTGACAGAGGAAAAAAAGTGAACAGATCTCCAAAGTTAAAAATGTTCTCATTAAAAACAAGTGGCTCTGAAAAGTGGAGATATAATTAGGAAATTTAAAATATCCTTCTAGGGAGAGTATCTTCTTCTTGCAATTGGAGTATTTTTTTTATCTTTACGGACCTCTAGAATCTTCGTTTCTGTGTGCAAGCGTTCAAAATAAATAATGAGGTTTTGTTTCTTAGAACTGGAAATGTGTCTCAGGGGTAGCCGGGCTTAATGATCTGAGTTCAATTCCTGGAGCACACATAATGGAGGAAAGAAACAATTTCTGCAAATCCCCTGACCTCCACATGTGCATCCAGGTACACAAGTGCACTAGTGCCTGTGCTTGTGTACCCACACACACACACACACACACACACACACACACACACACACAGGAGTGCAGGTGTTGGTCATACGTTATTTGTAGTTTTTAAAGACTGGGCCATTTTAAACATCAGCAGTGTGTTGCTTAAGCAAGAGAGACTCCAGGGTCCCCTACCCAGACCTCCTTGCCCCAGGTCATGTCCACACCTGTCCCCACCCCCATGGGCGTGGTCAGTGCAGCAGGTGCAGACGGAGCTAATCTCACTATATCTGTCTCCCTTCTCTCTCTCCCTCCTGTCTGTCCTTCCTCCCCCCCCCCCATCTCCCTCTCTCCTCTCTCCCTATGGATGTCCAATTGCTCCATACAGTTTGTTGAAAGGTGATGTTTACTCTTTTGAGTTGCTGTTCTAATCTATCTTCATCTTCATATATGCCTTGGAAGGTTCAGTAACTGCCAGACGAAAGCTGATAGAACTGGCTTTGGCTGTACTGATCCTTCTGGGACTGGGAGGACGGAGACACAGTCAGTAAAGCACTTGCTGTGCAAGGGTGATGGTGTGAGTCCCATCTCCAGCCAGTGTCAAATTGTGATGTGACCATCAGAGGTGTGCTGCTTAAGCAATTCTTCACGTCCCATGCTCACTGGTGTTCGTAATCATGGTATCAGGTGGGGAGGAAGAAGTATCCAATCTAGCATAATCTGTGAGTTTCAGGCCATTTAGAAACTGTGTGTCAACAAAATTGTTTAACACCAGAGGTTCCCATCCAGCCTACACACACACATACACAAACACACACACACACACACACATACAGACAAACACACACACTCACACACACACAGACACTCACATACACACACACACATATGCACATACATGTGCTTGTGTATCTGTTCATACACACACAGTAAAAACTAAATGAAGGAACAAATTCTGTTTAGCTACCATATTAAATTTTATTAAGCAAATGAAAACCCCAAACCTATTCTTGTGACCCACAGCAAATATTGTTAACAATATGATGTTTTGTTTTTTTTTTCATGCATTTTAGTTTAATGATGATCATGATTTTGAGTTTTTATCCTATCACTCCTGTAACGTGTCACTAACACTTTCTATACCATTAGAAATTCCTTCTGATACTTGGTTCAAGTGAGCTATCTGCTCCTAGACTGCATGTGTATTGCAAGTGTGGCATAATTTACCTTCATCGATACTGATGTAGTTTCTAATATAATAATGACATATTTTCTTATATATATGCAACATGCATTGCATGTGAGAGATGTAGATCATATATCATAATATATATCAATGTCTTGTATGATTACTGTGGCTTCCTTTATTTTAATATCTTTTATTCTGTGACAGTTCTATACATAATGGCTCTTGACCGCCTCTATCCCCAGTCCCTCCTATTTCCCCTGACACTCTGTAGGAGTGTCATGTCCCCCCCACCTTCATGTCCCATCATTTTTTGTAACCCTCTGAGCTCAATTAGTGCTGTATGCTAGACAGGGCTTATTGGCTTGACCGTGGGCAGGCCTCATGCAGGTAACCTCAGCTGCTGTTACCTCATGAGTGCCATGGCCATGTCATGTCCAGAGGACAGCATTTCACAGTGTTCCTTCATCCTTAGTCTACCCTCTCTTCTGTGATGTCCCCTGAGTCTTGTGGGGACAGGGCAATTGATACAGATGTCCCATCACAGCTGAGAACCCATTAGTCTCTTATTTTCAGCACTTTGACCAGTCATGAGTCTTGCATTACTATTCACTTCAGAGAGAAACTTCTCTGGCCAAGGCTGATGGAAGCCCAAATCCACGAGTACAAACAGAAAGCACTTTGACAACATGACCATTTAGGAAAACATCAGTGTATGTTCCCCTGTAGAGCCCATTATATCTATCTTTAGTACCATCTAGATGAGCAAGGTGGGTTAAATTATCCATAAGAGAAGCATGATACCTTTGCCACTCTTTATTGCTGAAGACCAAATAGTTTCTAATTCTTGTTGTTATGAACAGCAATGTCTACTTGTCTATCTAGTGACGCCAGATCCCATTTGACTCTATGCCTGCTTTAAGTGTCAGAGGAGAGAGGGTTCATCTCAGCATCCCACCCGAAATGAGACAACTGATGTAGTTTAATCACTGGGACAGATGGACAAATGGTATACAGCAAGATTTCCAACAGTTAGTAGCAAGCCCAGATTTCACACCCTGCTGCCAGGTACTAGCAGCAGATTTTTATTTCTGGAATTTTTCCCAAGATGTACAAAACACAGAGAAATCAGCCCTCACACACTTACTCATTTTGATGCCGGTAACTGTCAGAAACACCTAGTTTGCCCATTTCCCCCAGGTTCTTACTTCCCCAAACTAACATTCATTTCTGGTGTGTGACTATTTCACAGGTGAACACACCAAAAGGAAAATGTTTAAGTGCAAATACCAGAAGCAGTCAAGTCTGAAATGCTGAACCGTTGTTCCAATTCCTTCTAGATTTATCAACGATGCTGGTTGGTGTTCAAGAAAGCGTCAAGCAAGGGTCCAAAGAGGCTGGAAAAGTTCTCAGATGAGCGTGCAGCTTACTTCAGGTGTTATCACAAGGTAAGAGCCGGTGGCTGCACCCCTCCAGACCTTGACTTGGGAGGAGGAAGCTGGCATTTACTGGGAAAACACGTCCAGATGATTGACAGTGGTCCTGATCATGTTATATTATATCTGCAATATAGTATACTTACTGCTTATTTTAAAACATGGTTAATGTAAAACTGTTACTGTGGTTTCCTGGTCTTTTAAAATTATTTTCCTTTGTTCCTGATAATTTTGTCTATACATCCAATGAAATATGCCTTTACCGCTATAATTGGAGGCATGGGCCTAGGCGACGAGGGCCTTAAAGTGAGGCAGGTTACAGTCTCATGCAGGGCTTTATTCAGAGCCCTGGGCAGTTTAAGGCTAAGAAGAGTCACACGAATAAGGTGTTCAGTCACAAGGACAAGCTACACATGGCAAACAAAACAAAACAAAACAAAAAACATGCTTTTCCATAGAGGCGTGTGAATAACAACAGCTAAAGTAAACTCACTCCTATCCACTACATACACCTGGGACGAGCATGAAAATACATTCCAAGAACAATTCTGTGTTTTGAAGAAACTGAAGCCATAAGACTCTTGTTTTCTCGCAAGCACTTGGAATTCTCATAGGACTCCATTTTTGAACTTTGATCTGCTAATATGCACCCCCCCATTTCCTCATCACATTCCCCTCATGTCACCCCTAACATGTCCCCCTTCAATTGCACAGCTAAACAAAAACAACAACAACAAAACTAATGCACTAAATCCAATTAATGCAGCCTGCATGTACATGGTGTGGGGCCATCCCCTGGAATACAGAACACTGGGTCTGGGCTTCTTTAGAATTTTATGTAAAAGCAGTACAAACCCATCAGAGTAGAGATCTGGTTACATGAAGGAAAGGAACAGGCTTGGCTTTTTGTGCAGTTCTTATACAGATCCTGTGGTGTCTTCCTTGTGTATGTTCAGTTTACTCAAATATGGAAAGCAGTGGAGAGCAGCCTAACCCTTGTATACCTCTGAAGCCAAGCTCTCTGACTCCATTGGAAAGCATTGGTACTCAATCAAATGCATTCAGACGTATTTGTGGCAAGCCAATTTGCCCAGAAAACAATATCTAAGGCGTAGCTTGACTTACTTAACTTGGGAAACCTTACCTTCTGGTAGCTTCAAGTACCCAAAGCGGTATTTGGTTCATAATTTGAACAAATAACATAGAGCCGAGGTGTCTATTAAAAGTGTGTTAGTCCTCAGCTTGCCGTGAGCATCTCTTCTGCACTCCCCTCATCTCCAAGGCCCTTGTGACCTCTGTTGAAAGAATCAAATGAGTCAGAGTGTACTGTAGAAGGCAAACAAGGTTTGTGACAGAATAAAGTGAAGCACTCTCGAGCGGTAGTGGTAGGCAGTGGCCTACACAGTGACCACTGTGATCATCTACATTGTAAGTGGGCTTTACACTATTCCTAAAGCCTCTGGAACAGTCAGCACCCCTGAGGGATGCTTTCCTGAACAGGGCATTAGATTGGCAGCTGCATATGGACTAACTCTTAAGAGAGAGACAGTGGTCTGTCTTTGCTCTTTATTGTAACGCTCCAATAGATGGTATTCATGTGACCTTCTCCCATCATTCTGAAAGTCATGTTTTATTCCAAGGCCAGAGATAAGGCTGACTCCCCTTCTGTTAACCATGTCAGAGGCCTGCAATTTCAATTCCTGGTTTCATAACATGTTGACTAAGAGGGGTGGGGTGTGCAGCCCCACAGACCTTTGTATTTGTCAGTGTCTGCTACCTAGTGGTCTCTTCAGAACCCCAGCCAGGCTCCGTTTTTATAATTCAACAGATATTTGTACTATTTGATCACTGCGTGTGGCTACCCGTGCCCCTTTAGCCTTCCTTGTGTGTATGAACTCCACGTATTTCCAGAAATAACTCATTCTTTATGAGCCCCTATACTACCTTTCGGGGTTTAGGAAAACAAATGAGAAATAGGCTGTAATTTGCTGGAAGACGTGAGTGAGCCTAGCAAAAGGAAGAAAAGTGAGGGCTACTTTGTAGGGAGGGCCCCTTCCATTCCTGTCCATCAGCTCATGGGGAAGGCTCTGTGTTTGAAGTGTGTGGAGATTCCAGATTCTCCGCATAGCCACTGCTGACACTTCGGGGAACCACGTGTCTGGACTGTCTGTTGCTGGACCACGGGAGATGTACGGCATCATGCGTACAGCTTGTTTGGATTCCTAGCTCGGTCTGCACAATCTCATCTTACTGTGCTCCCAGGGCCTTGGCTCCCTACTGTCTTTATACACTCCTACCTCAGTAATTTACATTTTTCCTGGAAGTCTGTTCCTCACACACAGCCTGCTCCTTTACTTGGTTCAGGCATTATTCAAATGTCACATAGGTAAAACTCCTTACCCCATTTATTTAGTGAAACCCATCAAGTCACTGCCTGCAAGTCTCGTCTTCCTTCTTTTCCTTAGTACTCACTACTGTCTCCCTCTCCCACATAAAATATGATCCACGATGATAACAGGCATTCGTGAACGAATATGGACACAGGGCGGGTCTCTATTAATTGTTAGTGCTTAAGACAGGATGGACAACTTAGGACTTTTTTTGTCTTGCTTTGGTTTCTTGAGACAGGGTCTCTCTGTGTAACAGCAACTTAGTACATTTTATGTATTATGAAAAAAAAATTATCAAAAGAAGCATCTGAAACCAGGAAAAGGAATTTTGATTTGGAATTCATAGGTGGGCCTGGTAATGGGCCCAGAAAATGCTAGGACATGGAAGTTTTAGGATGGACTCAAACTTTGCTTGTGCATGGGCTAGAAAGAGCCCTTTGAGCGTGAGAGGGGAGGGAAGTGGAGGAAGCTCTCCCTTGCCCTACTTTGGACTTCTACCTGCTGGTTTGTGATTTCATATGCAGGCCATCAGGGAACTGGGTGAGCTGAGTTCTCTTTCATGTGAAATCATCATTAACCCAAGTTCAAAGCCTAGCACTGAGAAGGAATTATCTCCATTAAGCCTCCAAGCCCTTGATGAGTTATTGTCACACATTCTTTCCCTTTACTCTTTCAAATCTGATGACTTTAACATTAATCTCTTGAGGGTATATAAGTAATTCTGAGATGTGCATTTTTTATCTAAATGCTGTGTAATTTATGAACCTTGGTAATCAAATACCAAGGTTATAAGTAGCACGCCGTGACCAGATTTCAGAATCTATTGCAATATAAATAAAGAGATTTCTAGATGACACTAGGAAATGTGTGTCATGCTTTTTGATCAACACAGACATGGGGTGGAGTGTAGTAGCAAATCTATAGTGTTTGTTAGCCTGCATTTCATTGTTGAGAATATTATTTCTTAAAATGCCAGTTTTGAGTATCTGAATCTTTTTGGAGTTTTAACAGAAAAGTTGACGGTAGAATTTGAAGACGTAGTGCCTGCACCACTGAGCACATAGCCAAAGGTGTTAAAGGAGAATAAATGTATGACTACAAGACACACAGGGGGAAAAATCATTTTTCACATCTTAGCCTTCTTCCTGGAGTTCCCCTGGAGCATCCTGAGCTGTCAGAGATGCCGTGAAATTGATTAAATGTAATTGTGACTTTGTGAAACTCCAGTGACTTCAGATGTGATCCCTTCTGAAATGCGAACTCCCCTTCTTCATCCAGGAAGAAAAGTGGCTGGCACTGGCCAGGAGGCTGCAGGGTTTCTTTCCATGCTTTATTTTGTGGGGGAGTGGATAATGGTCAGGGCATACTCTAAGGTGGAAGGGGCAGGTCACCTGCTTGTTTGGGAGGTCTTTGTTCTATCCTAGCTTTGCCTCTGTGTCTGCTACATTGTATATCTTTTATGTAGTTGTTAGCCTCTCTTTCCTCTCCCTCCCCCTTTACCCTTCCACTGCACACTTTCTCTTCTCCTTTTTCATTCCTCTCCCATTTTCTCCTCTTTTTCCTCCCTCCCTCCCTCCCTTTCTTTCTTTCCTCCTTTCTTTCTTCCTTTCCTTTTTCTACTGCCTCCCATGTTCTTTCCCTACCCTTTCCTCTCCATTCCAATAATTTCCTACAGCAAATAAATTTAATTCTAACAAAGCTACCAGGAACATGCTGCTTCTACGCATGCCCCCATTCAACAGAGAAGAGTGAGGGATAACGGTTTTTAAACACCATGACCTTCTAATTGCATTGTGACGTTTGCCGTTTTACCAACCCCCTTTAGGCATACTGTTGTGCCGCCATCCTCACTACTGACTAGACCACCCTCATGTTTCACAGAACTGACATCAGACTCTGTCCTTGGTTTTTGAGAAAATGGGACTCCAGGTTCTTCGCAGTGAGCTAATGGCCAACGTCCTGAAAAATCAGTTTAATCTTGCTCTCCCTGCCCATCTCCTCTCTCCCTCTCTTGTTCTCTGTTCCCATCCCTCTGCCTTCTGTGTATATATTTGTGTCAGAATTCTCTCTCTTCTTTCTCCACTCCACTTCCAGCCTCTGGCCATGTTTTCCAGGCTTCCCTCTACACAGAATCCCCCCTTTTCCTGGTGCATGTGCAAAAAAGTGATCCCAATCTCTACTTTGTCCGCTCCACCCCCATGACTCCCCTGGGTCCAGCCTGAGTAAGTCTGTTGGGGCCACTTTGCAAGCAGACCCTGCTACAATGGACACCATGACTTATGCTCATAATGCTGTGTTAGGAGAGGTTGCTTCCATACTTCAGTCTTCACATGCTTAAGTTATACTCTAAGGATTTTATAAAGTCACAAATCTTCCTTGAAATAAATTTTAACAATTCTGAAAAGTTTATAATAAAATAGGACGTGAGATTTGATATCAGGCCCTGGTCTCTGTCTTCATAAAAATGAATAATAGGTTAATAGAAGACTTTCAGACCATCTGCCCTATAAAACATGTAGAAACACATTCACATACATAGGTAGGTTGTTTCAGAGGAAAAGTAAAGCAATTCACGGCACTTACATTATGTGTAAGAAGACTCTGGAACCTAGGTTTTCCAAT